ATCCTGGTAGGTGTCTGTTCTCATAGGATGAACACCATCCCAAGGATGGGCTTGGCTTACAGATGTAGTGCTTTTGGGGCTACATTAAATATGCAGTTTAAATAATCCTTCTGTCTTCTGCTTGACCCCTCTTTCCCTCTCTAACTCAGAGGAACTGACTGGCTAACTACAGGGAAAGGATTTCTGGAAAAAGTCTTCTCAGTCAGTTCATTTCAAAACAAGCGCCCCTCTGTGGAGCACATGTCAACTCTCTTCATAGCACGACTTGGGGATTAAGAAGAGACCCGTGGTGGTTTTAAGTTGCTCTGGGAACCTGCTCTGGAAGGCTCTCACTAAAAGAAGATGTCTGCTAGACCTGCAGGACTCCAGCTTCATGAAAATACCTTATTTGCACAATATGGATTTACCTGAAATTGATTGAAACCAAAGGGCAATGCAACCAGTGACTGTTTTCAGAGCTGCTCAAGGAAGACGAGAAAAAAGAGAAAAGTTCTCCCTCACCTTACAGAGAAGAGCTCTGTGAAGAAGTCCTCAAACATTAAAACCCCATTTCATAAAAATGTAAGTCTGCAGCAGTTCTAGTTTAGTCTTCAAAAGCACACGCCCCCAAAAAGGAAACTAAACGACAGATTTGTCTTTCTGCACAAGGAGCATGTTGTCTACATCCAAAGTTGCTCAAGGGACACCCTGAATCCACCAGTTGCTGAAGCTCCTGCTAGAGGGATCTGGCTTTTAAAAATGTCATCCACATCCTTCCCAGGAATGAGGATCTGAAGGGAGGAGGGAGTGGGGTGCTATGCAACATTGTCTCATGGCCTAAGTAAGGCTCACCTCACCCAGGAACTGTGGCAGTTAGTTACTTAGTTCTCTATTTAAGGAACAAAAACAAAAGCTTCTAGCTAGCTAGTTCAGTTGCTACCATCAGGGCTGAGATGTACTCTGTAGCCCAGCTGCCCCAAAAGATAGTTAAGGAAGGAAACATCTTCACTAAGATTGACAACCAACTGGTTTTGGCAAGTCATAGGCGTTGACAACCGACTGGTTTTGGCAAGTCACAGCCGTATCCTTCTCCCCTCTCTCGTATAATATTTGTTCATAATATACATGGACCCTGAATTGGTTTTCTTTTAGTCTCCTTGGGATATTTACTTTTTCAATTTACTGACTCTTTATAGTGTGCAAACCAAAGTCTGAATCACCATGCAAAGTCTGACTCCCACCCTTTGCAAGAGCTTCAGGGAGGGAACAGCATCTTTCATGTTTTGATATGCCAAATTTGTGGGATAAATGTTTGTAAAGTGAATTGAGTAAAGTCAATCTTATTCTACCTCTACCTTTTCTCATGAAATGTAGAAAATAGGTATATTTACTCAGCAAGTGTCCCATTTAAGTAGACCTTATTGAGAGATTTTGAAAAGGAATATTGTGGGCAGTCACTATACCTACTATGCTATCAGCCCTGTGCCACAGGGCATATGTTCAGTCCTTTGCCAATTCCAGAGTCTCCTCTTCATCCAATGGGCCAACTCTCCTGATCCCTGGACCATAAACATTTTCACCCATGCTTAGAGTTATGCAGGCTCCAGTCTTGCAGAAGCAGTTTGAAGAGCACATACATCTCTCAGTTTGAAGACTTAAAATAAATTCATCCCCTGTAGTAACCATTCTGTAAGTCTGAACTTCAATAAATTGAGTTCAGTTGGAATACGCAATTTAGATTGGAATGAGGAGGCCATGTGAGAAGGGAGGTAACTATACATTTGGCAGAATGAGGTAGAAATAAAAGAGAGGGAATCTGTGAGCGCCCAAGAGAACAGTCACCTAATACCATCTTGCTTCTATAGAGCACTTGAGTGTCATAAAGAGTTTCAAATGCATATGAGAAACATTTTAAAATCTGCATCTCAAACAGAACTGGCTTGCAGCATAAAAGACTGGAAGGAGTCCTGGTAACAGTGACAAGCCTTGGGGTTAGAAAAGATCTGTCCCTAAATCATCATATAACTCTGGGAAGGCTCTTAACTGCTTTGAGACCCAGTTTTCCTACAGGTCAAACTAAATCAGAATGAAGGCTTAGATTATAGGATTTCTATGAGTCCCTTCAACTCAAAACCTGGATGACGTCATCTGTTGTACCAATGTGCTCTTGTATAACTGATTAGAAGAGAGCCTGTTGTGACATAAAGAAGGTCAGACAACCTAGTAGAGGAATAAAATGCTGACAGGATTATTTCCAGTTCTGCTGCTTGCTTATCAGCTGTGTGGCCTTGACAAAGTGAGTGAACTTCTCTGGGTCTCAGTTTCCTAATCAGGAAATGAGAACATTAAGACTCATCTTATAGGTTGGTTGTGCATGTTAAATGAAACAGCAAATCTGAAAACACTTTTAAACTTTAATGACCTATTAAAATGTGATAAATTATTATTATTACTACTACCACAACAAAAATTCATTAGTCTTCTAAGAATCACCCTGCAAAGGAAACAAATTCTGCAGTCTTTACCATTAGCCCGGCATACAACTTGAGCAGAAGGCAAGGGCCATTTACAATGCAGGAAAAAGAAAGTTTAGCTTCTTCACTGCTATGTGACATGCATGATACAGACTTCTAGGTCCCCTCCCAGCCCCCTATAAAACACATGTAATAAAGAAAGTCTAGAATGTTAACAGTGGTGATTTTCTCCTCCATCAGAATAACAATACAATCTCCTTATACAAATCTTTCAAGGACCATCAAAATCACCACTAAGATTTAAGATAAACATCCCATTGTACTCAGAGAGGCAGTGCCTGTTCTTCCAAACTTCACAACATCACAACTGGAATGCAGAGATCTGGTTACATAATAAAAAAGCTGATTCTCTGCTGTCTCCTCACAAACAATTCCCTCCCTACACATTTGGGGTTAGGTGTTAAGAATTGTTCACAGCTACTTGGAAGGCTGAGGCAGAAGAATCGCCTGAGCCCAGCAGGTCGAGGCTGCGGTGGCCGGGAGCGGCCACTGCACTCCAGTCTGGGTGACAGAGAGAGACTCCAACTCAAAATAAAATCAAATAAAATAAAGAGTGATAATTATAAAAAAAAAAAAAAAAAAAGAATTGTTCACACTCCAACATGAACAACAGAGTGAGACCTCGTCTCTACAAAAAAAAAATAAATAAATCAAACAATTAGCCAGACTTGGTGGCATGCACCTGTAGTCCCAGCAACTCAGGAGACTAAAGTGGAAGGATTGCCTGAGCCCAGGGGGTCGAGATTGCAGTGAGCCATGAGCATGCCATTGCATTCCAGCCTGGGTGATAAAGTGGGACCCCGACTCCAAAAAAAAAAAAAAAAAATTGTTCACACAAATCTGTACAAGAGAAGATTCCTACTTCAAGATGATTTCTCACATCCTTTCTTGGAATGACTATATAGTATGTACGATAGTTAAGTACAAAGCTGGAAAGAAGTTCATCTAAAAAATGATAAGTTTTTTTTTCCATTATGATAAAATAACAGAAAGCCTTCATCATGGGCAGTATTTTTTGTCTTCTTTATTTTCTAATGTTCCCGAGCTTGAATGGTTTCTAAGCATTGGGTAACATAGGCCATAGATTTTGCAGGGAAGTCTGTTATATGAACGAAGTAAACTTTTTTTTTTTTGAAAGCAGGATTTATTGAGAGGACAGAGAAGCTCCCAGAGTGAGAGGGGACCTGAGGAGGTTGCCCCAAGTAAGCTTTAAATAGAATCTTGGGGGAAACCACAGCTTGCATGAGCTGCATGCAAGAGGAAAAAATGAGTTTATTTGTTAAAAAAAACAAACCTTAAATCTTTGTTATATTAATTTTGGCTTTTTAAAAAATGCCTTTCAAATAAAAGCAAAGAGAGCTAGTACTTTAAGGGCAAGGCACCACCTTACCCATCTTGTACAATTTCTGTAAGGAGGTACATAATAGGTGCTAAAAAATGCCTGTCGGATTCAATTATTTAACAAGTTTCAGAAAGGAAATACACAGTAAACCCCTATAATGGCTTACATGTCACTATTATAAAAACTCTTTCTCAAAATAAAATCACTAAGGATTTTGAAAGACCAGGAGTAGTCCCGGTAACAGTGACAAGTCTTGGGTCTAGAACAGATCTGTCCCTAAATCATAGTATAACTCTGGGAAGGCTTCATACATGTTTGCTGAATGAATAAAGGTATTAAAAGAAACCAAAACTAATTCCTAATCAACTTACTGAAATACAAGTTCTATGCCTCATGGAAATTTGGGGCCAGAATTAATTCTTGATTCAACTTCAGCCAGGCTGATGCTCTGAGATACATTTTCGACAATTTGGCGTTCCAATTAGTTAAACTCAATGCATTTTTTAAAAAATTCTAAACGTATCTACATTGAGTAAAAACCAAAAAAAAGTATATAAAGTTGTTTCAACCAACTGATGTAGGGTAATTGCTAGAAGTAAATGAATATCTTGTCACTACCAATACATTTAAGAATAATTGCTGGAAATAAACGTCTACCTTGTCAATCTGTCACTGCTTGTCACAGTTCTTTCTTTTCTTAAATGAATCATGTCTAACACAGAACTGGTAAGTAGTAATTAACTTAATCCGCTGAGCAACATACATCCCTGTATCACTAAATACAGTTTTGCACAATATATTTATTGCACTTTTTATTGAGTAGCATGGAAATGAGTGCTGAGTTGGCAGGCTAATAATAAACAGCCCCAAGGTTATCTGAGTTGCTCTCCTGCATTGACAAAAATGGTGATAAATTGGGTTGTAACTGAGATAGAGAAAAAAAGACTATTACTTCTAATGCGGAGATTAATTGATGCCCTACCCCAGCCCTCATCACACACTCCTGCTCTCCGGTCAACATGCAGGCTCAGCCCTGACATGGAGAGAACAGCCCAGGTATTAAATTTCCTGTCACATGGAGCTCTGTATCTCTGCAGCCCATGCAAGACAAGGTATGTGGATAGCTTCTGTGGAGAGGCATTTACCTTCTTTCACACAGATGGGTTTACCACTTGGGGCCCAGCCTAGGGTTCCGTTAAAAAGTTTCATACACAGTCTCTTTGCAGAGCCCTTCAGCTTGTATCCGTCTTGGCAGTGATATCGAGTTACAGAGCCTTCAAAGAAAACCCCTTCGCTGGGGGTCTGGAAGCCATTCTCGGGGATGTCGGGGTCAGCACACACGTGAAGGTCATCAAACCCTACATTGACAGAGAGAGGAAAAGATGCCTCTTATTACGTATTTATACAAATACAGAATATATTAGGAGAATATATAATTCTAATGCCTACAGAAATTTCAGATACTGTATTATGTCATATGCCTGGGACCACTCCAATTACACCAACAACAAAGTCAAGGACATGAGCATTCTAGTACATGGTTCATTCTGCCTTTAGCTCATTACTCAGAAGAGCAGTCATTAGAGTTTTCAGTTTAATGGTCAAGTTAGTCTTTCAAGAAAGTTGTACCAGTATGGAGAAGGAGAAATGTAGACAAACAAAAGGAATATAAATTGACAAGGGCCAGAACAGAAACCAAAATGCTGAGGGTAGAGGAAGGAAAAGTGTTTTGGAGAAGGACAAGAAGGAGATGGCATCTGAGCCTGCCCTTGAAGGATGGGTCAAATTTCAAAACAGAATTCAACGTAGGGAGGCAGGGTGGTATTCTAACAGGGGGAATAGCATGAGCAATGACCAGGGACTGGGAGATGGCAGGGTGTGTTTAGGGAGCAGCAGGTGGATCTAACAGTTATAACACAGAGTATGGGGTAGGGACAGACTGAGATGCCCACCTTTCCCCTTCCCCTCGCCTCCACTCCCTATCTGCCAGGGAAACGCCCACTCCTCAAGACCAATTCAAGTATCTCCTCCTCCCAGTTACCTTTCTTAATCCCACTCTACCCCCACCTCATCCCCATTTTGTTCCACTGCGATAGTGTGAGCATAGCTCTGTACTGAATTATCTGCAGAATGGCCGCCTTCTTCCCAGGCTGTGACGACCACATCTCCTCCCAGACTATGAGCCCTTCAAGGACAGGTCTCGTGATTCTTTCATACTGGCAATCCCAGAATCCACCACAGTGTCCGGCATAGAAAGTGCTTCATATTTGTTTGCTGAATGAATAAATGATGATAGGGACAGCAGCTTGAGGGACTAACTGAAGGAGAGCAAGTCCAGCTTAGTCAGGAGACCAAGGCAAGGGTGTGGGTCAGAGTTGATGGGGCCTGAGAGGACATAAGAGGGGTTGAAGTAGCATGGAGGACTCCAGTGTCTGGGACACTTGGGCTCCAGTCTTCCACTTGTCAACTCACTGGATGTTGGGGTGAGAGAGAGGTCTAAGAAATTTTGTGCCCAGACAGCTGAAATGAAGGCAGATCTTTGAAACAAACATGAATGCCATGAGCTGGTCAAGGAAGGTCAAAGAAAAGGAAGGCCCTTCCATGTACATAAGCCTCCAAATGTGCCCTTGAAGGGAAGGTGCAAACTTCTGAACCTGAAACTTCTGAGCCCTACAGAGGCATTTGACTCCATTTTTCTTACAAAATCAATTGACAAATCCATACTGAATAGGTACCAAGAACAAACATGCATAAGTCTACCTAGATGGGAGTTGGTGTGCCCATCTTCCCCCACCCTCAGTGCTGTCTGCTGGTGCCAGGTTGGCCTGGACACCATCAAGACATGGCAAAGGAGTCTCAAGCCAGACCCAGGAGACAGTGGGTATCGTTGGGACTATCAGAGGATTTACCAGGTGTCCAGGTGATGCCCAGATATTGGACTCATGAGATATCTGATCCTCTCTAACATACTGGGCTTGCTAGAGCTGGTAGGTAAACTCTCCCCATCCCAACTTTTATGTACTCATGTAGGACTCACTTGCTTCCCTCCCCACCTGGCCTCATGACCCTCTGCCTGTGTTGTTGTCCTGAAAGCTACACAGCACAGGAGGCAAGACATTGGCAGGATGTCCAGTAGTCATTGTCAAAGTGCCCATTCTGTGCAAAATGATGAGGAACCACGGAGTGAGGGAAACATCAAGAAGGCAAGTGGGAGAAGGGGACAGCATCCATCTACATCTGACACTTGTACCTATTAACCAGGAGCAGATCTGATGCTTTTACAAAGGTGACATTATCCAGCCTCCTCCACCCTGCTCTCATAGGTGGCAGCAGCTGCCACCATCCTGTTAGGGTTGAGAAGCACCCCAGCAAGCAAGTCGTGTTCCAGCCCAACAGAGAGGTATTAGTCATTAAATGAGGGCCGTATATTTTTATTCCAAGGGAGAGTATTCTGGATTGTCAAATGCTTCCTAAATGATGAGTGTCCACCATTTCCTCCCAACTGAAAGGATGAGAAATCTCATGGGGGGTACTTTTAAATGTATATCCACGATGGGGTTGAGGTGGCAACATTAACAGCCATGGTTTCATATAGCTTAGAAAGCCCAGAAGCATAGATATTCAGAGTCCTGAAACCTGGGTGGTCTGGACATTTCTGGCAGTCTTTATGGGTGTCGTTCTCACTCACATGTAGGTCAAATAGAACCAGTCTCTGCTCTAATAATATTGGGGTAGGGTATATGTATCAGTCAGTGAGTGGTTACAGAAGGTCAAGGTGGGTATGCTGTAACAAAGATGGGGGTAAACCTCTGGGAGGCCTTGACCCGAATCTTTTTTTTTTTTTTTTTGAGTTGGAGTCTCACTCTGTTGCCCAGACTGGAGTGCAGTGGCTGCTCCCGGCCACCGCAGCCTCGACCTGCTGGGCTCCAGCGATCCTTCCGCCTCAGCCTTCCAAGTAGCCGGAATTACAGGCATGCGCTACCACACCCGGCTGATTTTTTTGATTTATTGTAGAGATGAGGTCTCACTGCCCAGGCGGGTCTCGAACCCGTGGGCTCAGGCAATCCACTCACCTCAGCCTCCCAAAGGCACGGGATTACAGGCTGAGCCACCGAGCCAGGCTGACCCGAATCTTTATGCTGAGCAGATATCAGCCAGCCAGAGGCGGGAAGGGCACCATGGTACAGATCAGAAGGCATGGAGCTGAGAAGCTCTGAGCACCTTTAAGAAAAGAGGTGTTTCTGCCAGGTTGGGGGCAGGATGTCTACTGGAGGCAGGACCTTGCGGAGAAAGGAAGAGACAGTGGAGGCAAGTCCTGAAGCCTCTATTTGGAAATGGGATAGGGGAGCGGGGTTCAGAGTTTTGAGCAGGGATATGGTCAGGATCAGATTTGCCTTTAGAATGATCTCTCTGGTGCCCAAGTGGAGGACTGATGGGTACAGACCAGGAATGGGGACGGAAGATCATCTGAAATAGCTCCCAGGCCACCAGTTGCACCTCAGGATCATGGGGGCACCTTGATCAAAAGACAGACCACCTGAACAAGAGCCTCTCTGCGTGGAGTGGGGCCTCCTCCTGGACAGCCAGCCCAGCACTTGTCTGAGGGCCAGCATTTGAGAACTGTAGAATTTCAAGGCTACTGCAGTAATCCAGGTGAGACATGGCAAATCAGAAATAAGGCAGAGAATATAGAAGGGACAAGACCACAAGAGACATTAAGGACACAGAGTCACAAAACTTGGCTAGCTGGGGAGTGGGAGTGAGTCAGAAAAGAGATGTTGAGGACAGTTTCCCGGTTCTGACACTGGTTTTGAGGTAGATGTGGTGCCATGCACTCAGGTTGAAAGGACAAGATGAAGCGTGGACCTCGGGAGAAGGGTGAGAGGCACAGTGAGTCTGTGCTCTCCGGGATAACAGGTAGAGATGTGTGACCATCAGCTGGAGAAGGAAGTGGAAGCTCCATGTGCCCTGAGCAGTGCATCTGTGCACAGGCTGCATTTGAAGACACAGGTGGGCACACTCTCCTGGGATTAGCACAGTGTGAGGCGAGGAGCAGTTGAGGATACATAAATAAGGGGTACACAAAAAGGGAGAACCAAGGGCTGTCCAGAAGGAAGAACTGACTGGTGTCCCTTAAATGTTAAAAAAAATAAGTTTTGGGAAGGAAGGAACACACAGCCATGTCAATGCGACCCATTGGTCAGCAAGCAAAGGTCCGAAAGTATCTACTAACTGAAGACAGAGAACACTGGGACCACTGCCCAGGCAGCTGCAGTGACAGGAACAGATTGTCCCTTGGAAAGAAGCCTGTCTGCTGACAGCTGAAGAAGGAACGGTGACAGGATGTGTTAACTGCTGTTTCAGGATGCTTAGTACGAACAGGAGAATATCGGGAGGTAGCTGCCCATAAACTGGGGTCAAGGGAGGGTTTTATTGTTGTGTTAAAATTTTAAGATAAAAGAGATCTAAAAGACATCTCTACACAGCAGGAAGAAAAACATTAGAAAATGAAAGATTTCAGATGAGGACAAGTAAGGGGGAGAAGGTAGGGTAAGTTGTCTCCATCTGGATGAGTGGAAAGGGGACCCAACCCCTGGATGAGGGACTTGTCTCCCACTGCAACAGGGAAGGGAAGTCATGCCAGAACTTCTACTGAGGGAAGGACGTTCCCCATCATGTGCTCATCCTCTAGGACACATCTGAAACACTGTCTCCTCCAGAAAGCCTTCTCTCTCTCTTCAGAGTCTGAATAGGAGGCCTCTCTTCTCATCAACGCACACCGAGCTCATCAAGGCACCCTGAGCTCTGAGAGGTGATCTTAGAGTGTTCCTCACTCTGCCATCACTGGTCTACTTAGCTGTCTCTCTCACTGGAATGTGGGCTCCTGGAGGGAAGAACAGATCTCATTCTTCCGCTCCTCAGCACATAGCATGGTGTCTGGTACATGGCGGCCATTCTACAAGTACTCCTAATGAAAAATGCAGGGCTACTTGATGAATGGATAGGTAAATGGATAGATGGATGGAAGGGTGGATGGATGGATGAAAAGAAGGAAGGGAGAATGATGGATGAAAGAAAGAAGGGGAGGGAGGGAGGAACTGCATGCCAACTACTCTGCTGGCTCCATCAGATCTATCCCCACCCACCAAACAGCAACACCTATGGTGCTGATAGTCCCAGAAGACAGGGGAGGTGTAAAATGCCTTCCAACAGCAAAACCACCTTCTCTTAGCACTCACACCTTTTTCTCTTCTCCAAGCCAAAGTAGGGTTATTTTTTTTACAAACTTCTCTCAATCCATAGTGCCAAACACCACAGTCCTCCTCTTCCCTCTCTGATATGGCAACCAGAGGTAGGT